TGTGTCGCTCTGTAATTTAAACTTTGAATAATGCTGCAAGATAAATATGCAACTAATGTGTTTTTCATCCCTTCCTTGACTGAGCTTTAATCCTGATGAAAATTTTTGCTCAGACAAGTCTGCTCAGGAAAGGTAGTAATGGTCCACTAAATATAATATTCTGTTTTGCACTGCAGCAGACATTTTATTGTCCTCGTATAGAAACAAATATAAAGTCTTGGTTTGTGGTGGACTAGGCTTGTCTGGTAGTTGCATTTTTGAAATGTTCCGTTTGCTTCCATGCTTTGTTTTATACATTTATTTAATTTATATCCTGTCTTTCCAACCAATGAGTGCAGGGAAGTTCTAACACTAGTTTTAAATGTGAATTATTGAAGAAGAATTTAAAAGTTCAGTTTGTTTGTGCATGTGTATTAAGACTGGATGAGAACCACTAGAATAAAGCTCAGCCCAGATAAGGAGGTGTTACTGGCAGCTGCTTCAGCTGATCATGGAGTTCGGCTTTGGGATTAAGTCACAGAATGATCAATGACAGGAGTTCCTGAAGAGCTCTGTTTAGAGATGCTAATGGATGCAGCATTATCACTAAAAGCCCAGGCAACCCACACTGCCTTTTGGTAGCTTTGTTGTCCGACTCTTCTTGACCCCATGGACCAGAGCACACCTTCGAGAACACTGTCCAACCATCTCGTCCTCTGTCGTCCCCTTCTCCTTGTGCCCTCCATCTTTCCCAACATCAGGGTCTTTTCCAGGGAGTCTTCTCTTCTCATGAGGTGGCCAAAGTATTGGAGCCTCAGCTTCAGGGTGCTGCATTCTTGTTGGAAATAGATATCATGACCAGAGTTATCAAGCCTCTAGGCTAGACTGCTCCATATAACTGACATTTAAAGACCTCACAAACTTCAGTTGCACAAAATGCTATACAATGTATTTGTGTAAGGATTGAATAGTTTTGGAAATTAAAAAGGAACACCATTCAGCTGAAACCCTGGCTCACTTTGATCATCTGGGCAATCATTTTCATGACCTGAAACTTGTTCAAAATGTTCAGGATGTCTCTCCTCAGCAAGTGTGGTAAACACGTTCTTAGGAGGGAGGCTGTTAGACTCATACTAACAGCAGCACATACATTAGAAAGATAATGAGATAATATAATGATGTTACATATCCAGTGGTGAGAGCGAATGGGGCTAGCCTTTGTGGCCTCATCAACCAGACAGGCTTTAACATGTGAGCAGATTTCTCTAACCCTGACCCCAATGAGGGAAAACAAAACTCATTCAGAATCATTGCAATTCTTTCTTTTCTTTTCACAAAGTATTTTATCCCCCTTTGAAGCAATCACCCAAAAGCTGAGTGCATTTTGACAATGAAAAAAAATTCATGAAAATTGTCCTTTTAGTTTGAAGGAAATAGGTTGCTTATAGAATCAGATTTGTGAGGGAGAGCTCTCCTCCATACACATTTGCAGAGGCAGTCTGGGGTGAACGTGCTTTATTGTCACAATGGCTGTCTTCTTGCTTGGAGCTTTAAATCAGGGCTCATCAAGTGCTTTGAACAAAATGATCTCAGTGGATAACATTGATGATGTTGTTGGGCTTCTCAAAGTGTCATTGAGTTAAAATTCCTGTGACTTAAAAGGAAACAAATGTCCATTCAGGAAGCACCACAGCTCTTTCTCCAATGTATATATAATTTGGTTTAGCCTGAGAATTTTAGATGTGGGGTTGTTCTATTTATATTAAGTTTCTTTCTATCGAATCTATACATGTTTTCTTAACATATTCTTCATATAGAAGCAAAAATTAGCAAGTTTGAGGATTAAAAATAATAATTCAGCAGACTGGTCTTGAAGGAAAGCTTGTTTCATTTCATGTTTTGAGTATGCCTATTCATTTAAGTCTCCATCACAGCATATAAATGCCTTCGTGTGGTTCAGTGTGCTTATCATAAGGCTTATCAGAGACTCCCTTTTATTCCTCTTTCTGTGATGCATGCCAGGTCCTATCAGTCAGTGTACTACACTTAGCACAACAATACACATTTGTTCACGATGAACTTGGTCCCAAATTTCCCAGAGTTTGAAGAATGTTCACAGCTTCTGAATTCTTCTTTGTTGGGGAAAAAAAAATCTCAGCCATTCAGACTGGAGGGGAAAAATGCTTTATGCTGTCAGCATAGCCTAAGGAAACATTATCCGACAATGGCGATACAACATCTAACAGCCGTGCATAGCATGATATTTCTTATAGCTATCATTTAATAGTAGCTTGAAACCCAGATCTTCACTGCTGTCATTTTGTGGACACAGGCTACCAACCAAACAGTTGGAATTCTTATATTTTATTTTAGATACTCCAGGAAAAGAATTATAGATGGCACATTCAAATCTTTTGAACATGCAAATACTCTGTGCCTTTAATATTTTTGTTACAGTCATACATTTATTTATTTTATTACATTCCTATCCGTCTCAATCGCATGGAACTAAAGGCAACAGGCAGTGCTATTTTTCCAGAAAATGAGGTGCCGGAACTCACCATGAATGCCACATTTGTTCTCTTATAATGGCAAAGACACCCACCTGAAAGGTGTCGGAACTGAGTTCTGATGAATTCCAGCTGCAAAAAGCGCTGGCAACAGGTTTGAGTTTCCTGCCAGTCTTCTATTTAACTACAGACAACATCTAGTGTGGTGTAGTGGTTAAGAGCGGTAGACTTGTAATCTGGGGAACCTGGTTCGCGTCTCCGCTCCTCCACATGCAGCTGCTGGGTGACCTTAGGCTAGTCACACTTCTCTGAAGTCTCTCGGCCTCACTCACCTCACAGAGTGTTTGTCATGGGGGAGGAAGGGAAAGGAGAATGCTAGCCGCTTTGAGACTCCTTCAGGTAGTGATTAAGTGGGATATCAAATCCAAACTCCTCTTCTTCTTCTAATGCCTCATCCTAGCTAGGTCAGGGATGATTACGGTAGTTAGCCGCTCATTTATGCATGAAGTGGCTAACCTTTGGTCTTCTAAGGGAGAATGCCCTTACTGAAAACAAATATAACACAGAATATTTGCAGTACCATCAGTTCATAAATGTTTGGTGGAGGCAAAAAGATAAGGTAGTAGGATCTGTTGACTCAGCAGGGCAACTGGCAGGGGCCTGGCAGGGCTCTGATGTATGTGTGGTGGAAGCAAGGGGGCTGGAGACTGACCCAGGAGAAAGGGGCAGTGATTTATGGGGTTTGGTGCCATCTGTGAGGCAGGAGTCGGGGTGGAGGGAAGAGGAAGAGTCAGAGCAGTTAGAGATGGAGGTGGGGACACAGGACCTGTCAGAAGAGGCTGCTCAGGTGAGGGGCAGGCCAGTCAAATCCTCACCTGCCTGCACTATTGTCTCCTAGAACCAGAAGGGGCTTGAAAAGGGAAGAGCAATGATTTTCATGCAGGAGAAATCTCAGATTGTGTGTGTGTGCACTTCATCAGAAGTGTGCACTGCATTAGCCTGGAATAACCAGATGACAGCAAAAACTGCAAAAACAATTAGCAGGGGCAATTAGAGTAAGATCTGTTGTTTGATTATTGATGTAAACCTCCAGAATGTATTTTGTATAGTTAAGTTTTTACCTCTATCTTCCATACATTGTATTTTATTTCATTGCTATGGCTAGTGGCTGATGCAAATAAATATTCTTCTGCGTGGGGCATGGTCCCACTGTGGCTTCAACTGCTTCACGGCGCAAACCTGAAAAAGTTCAGGCCAGCTAAGTGGGCACTACAAGTATGTGTGTATCTGGTGCACCTTGGGAGCTGCTGTAAGCGTGTGTATTACCAATAAAGAATTCACTATGGGCCATTTGCATTCCTTGGCTGGGTGGGTGCAGGACAGCAACAGCTAACAGAAATTATTTGAGAACTGGTGCAGTGGATTCAAACTCAATAACCAAACTTGCCCTGTTTGTGTCCTCATTGAAGCTGAAGGTATACCTTCTACAGCCAATGCACCTTGACTGCCGCAGGAAACTTCTGATAGGTAATGAACATTTTTCATTGTGTTTCCAATCTTCTGGAGAGACAGTTAATGGGAAAATGAAACAGATAACTGGCATTGAAGGAAAAGAGGGGGAAAACACTAGATGTAGACAATACCAACCTCTCTTAAGACAATTCTCAACTTGTCCATGGAGAAAACAATAGATAAGAGCCACAATTTCCTACACCAGCGTGAGCTGTCATAATGAAACCCATAAAGGTAATAGTGGACCTTACTGACCAGAGCCAAAGTCTTCGTTGAACAATATGGTCACACAGCAAATATTATCACCATTTGGTAACTAGATTGAAAGAAGGCAGCCAGTATTAACATTCCAGACAGATTTTTCCAAAAAGTAAAGTCCCTTTGTCCATTAATCCTCAACTCCTTTTTCAATTTAAAAATGTTCATTCTGCTCAGCCTGTGGATGTCTATAAGAACAATTATTACACGATTTATCATCATTCTTGTGTTATTTCCCTCGTGAAAGATAAAACCAGTGGCTGGGGCCATAAAGCACAAGTCTCTTATTGTAAGAAAGCAATATGACTTTACACAGCAAGGGAACAGTGAAATCCACCTAAGCAAAAATTATGCCCCTTTTAGCCCTGCATTGAGGCATGCAAAGAAGTGTGTTGGAATTAATCCTGCAGCTCCTAAGCATATGGGCAAAGATCAAATGATCCTGTGCCCGGGACAAAACTCTGAACCATTTTATATTATGGCATTCAATTTTCCATACTTGCATAACTCTGACTCCTTTATTGCTGAAATCCAGTGTGGATTCTGCTTTCATAAGATCTTCCCTTTCCATGGCTAGACAGAAATTTCCTGCCATCAAACTGACAAAAGTATTTACCAAAAGTTTTTGCTTTCATACAGCAAAGACAGAAAACAACTCTCACTTAGAATCCTATAATTGTAGAGTTGGAAGAGACCCAAAGTGTCATATAGTCCAACCCACCCCCCAGTGCAGGAATTCTTTACCAAATGGTGGGGCTTGAAACCACAGCGCTAAGATTAAGAGTCATTTGCTCTACCAACTGAGCCACATCAGCCTATAACGTATTAGTTCATCTCCAGTCAAAGAAAGATCTAACGCTTAGATCTGCAGTAGCTAATGTAGTGGGTGCCTCCTGCCACACCCCCACCTCTGCCAGAGAAGTGGTGCAAGTATTGGTGCTGTTTTCCTGCAAGATCTTGCAAGATCTCATAAAAGTCTTGCAAGATGTCAAGGAAAGCCAAGCATCTCATGAGATTCAGGTGAGATCTTCAAGCTCTTTCAGAGAATCTTTCAGGTGCCAATGCCAGCACTGCAGTGATGGTACAGCTGGTACAGAAATGGCAGATGACACAGTGGTGGTGAGTGTCCCACAAGTGGTAGTGGTAAGGTGATATGGCAGAGCAGGGTGGCACATTTTGTTTGGCAAAATGGGATGTACTACCCCTGATGTCAGGATTCCAGAACTTACAGCTGTCAGCTCTGAGGGAAGGCTGGCAAGGACACACAACCCAGGTGGGGCTCGATTTTTCGTGGACAAGGTAAGTGATTCATTAGCTGCAGTAAGCTCAGGACAGGTGAGGATCAAATGCCTTGTCAAGCCCAGAAGGTATATTAGGAAAAGCTTCCTAGCCAGGCCTGCATCACACACACACACACACACACACACACACACACACATAGCTGCTGTTTTGTGCAAATCTGATGGACTGAAAAGCTTGTATTTTAAAAAAATATTAAAGATGTGTGCTTACAGGTAAACAGATACCAGTGTGCATGCCCAGAATGGCCTGTATCCTAACCATGCCTGCATCCAGGCCTGCGTTACTCACACACACACACACATAGAGAGAGACAACTGTTGTTTTGTACAAATCTGATGGATTGAAAAACTTGTATTAAAAAAAAAATAAGTTGTGTGCTTACAGGTAAACAGATACCAGTGTGCATGCCCAGAATGACCTCAGCTTGCATTCTGAGTACAGGCCTGTGTCCTGGCCGGCCAGGCCACTACATTGGCTACCCAAGATCTAGATTTGCTTTCCCTGATCACATTTAATGGCGGTTCTTGTTATATCTCCCTTTCAGAATTTGTTACTGGTCTTGTCACCAGGACAGATCCTCCAGACACATATGTTTGAGATCAAACTAATCAAATTGTCTTCACTATTTTTTTTATCCCTTGAGATCTAAGGATGTATTTAACTATATTTGAGTTGGACCAGGTTCTCTAATACTGTTTTTCGATCTATAAGCTGATGGAATGCTTCTGAAATGGACTTAGAAGATTAATGAGAGTAGAATGTTAATATATGGAGCTATATTTTAAATACCCTGAAAGGAGAAAGCTGATGTCTCTAAAATTGATTAGAGAACATCTTCTGCTGTTAGAAAGACTGTGTGACAAGTGAGTGGAGCTGTACATAAATCTCATACTTCCCCTTGCCAAGGATTTTTATACATTTGCTGATTTATACTTCAGGGTGAATGCCGGGACATTAGCAGCATAAATCATTCAAATGGAATTGCAGAAAATGTGATGGTAACTAATTTTTGGTTTTGAGCAACGGATTAATATAGGTGCAACAATCAACTTCTGGTTCACATTTGGTTAAAAAAAATGGGCTATATTATTGCCATGGTAGAGTCAAGAAGTACTAGCCATGGAGCCAGATTCCAAGAGTTGCATGGTTGAAACCTGTACTGGTGAAACTGCAAGAATTTGGAGCATAAATTGTAGGCTACAAACATTTTCACTAGCCCTCCAGACATATCAGTTGGTTGTGGAATGAGAATGAACTTCTGTAAAACATCCATGTCTGTCTGTGTAGAGGTGATGCTTATATATATGCCATAGGCGACCCCATAAAGTCTCAAGTGACAATGGACCTTGGAGGTCTGCTGTGATAATTTTGCTAGGCATTATGCTATGGAGACGAGCACTTTTACCATAAATCTGAATGTCAGTGTCAGGTGAGATGCTGGTGAGGCATCCGATGTACTGCCTACTTCAGTCCAGCAGGATCAGTTTCAGTTGTTGAGACCTGAGAGTGTGCTTATGCCACTTCAAGTGCCCATCATGGCTTATTTGAACTAGTTGGGATTGGTTGGTTGTGTAGCTACAGGGAATGATGGGGTGGTGACAGCTGCTCTCAAAGAGACCACTATGCAACCACTCCTAAAGAAGCCCTGTATATACCCAGAGTTTTATCATAATTACTATCTGGTCACAGCCCCCCTTTTGGGGGCAAGGTTCTCGAGAGGGTGGGGGAGCCCAACCACAGCTGTTCTTAGAGGATATTGATAATCTGGACACATTTTTGACTGGGTTCCGGCCTGGTTTAAGAATGGAATTAGCTTTGGTCACTCAGATAAATGTCCTTTTATTAGGAAAAGCACAACGGGAGTGCAATCCTCTTACTCTTGCTCGACCTCTCAGTGACTTTTGAAGGCATCTGCTATGGATTGGCTTATATTGACTCCATAAGATGGAAGTTCGGGGCACTGAATTGTAGTGGTTTTGGTCCTAGCATCCATGCCAGTTCCCAGAGAATAGAATTGAGTGATTGTGCCTTGCCCCACTGGCAATTATGCTTTGGGGTGCTGCAGGAAAACATTTTGTCCCCAATGTTATTTAACACCAATATAAAGCCAATTGGGAACAGCCATTATGAGTCTTGGGACAAGGTGCCATTAATAGGCTGATGACACTCAGCTCTATTCTTTCCTTATATTGGAGACAGGAGCTGATGTGCATTATCTGCACAAGTGCCTGGATGCACTGGTCAGCTGCATGAGGGTGAAGAAAACGAAGCTGAAGCCTGATAAATTAGAGGCACTGTGGGTGGGTGATTCCTGGGTCCAGGAATTGAGAAATCTGCCTGTTCTAGGTGTGGCTGCACTCCCTCTGAAAGGACAGTGGGTAGTTGGATCCATCTCTGCCACTAGATTCCCAAGTGACCTCAGTGGCAAAGAATACCTACTGTCACCTTTGCCAACTACAAACATTCTTGGAGAACATTGTTGGTCCATCACGAAGTGAGGATAGGCAGTCGCTTCAGGCGGCAGGCTGGGAGAAGTACCACTGTGCGCTGCCAACGTTGCTGGCCATCATTGCTGCCACCACTGCCAGCTGCTACCATTGCTAGCTGTTGCCCAGCCACCATAGCCAGCCACTGCCACTGTTGTCAGGCCTTCCCTTCAGCAATTCAAGAAGGCCATTATAGGAAGATACCTTATGAGGAGAGCAAATGCCCATGTAACTCTGGGCAGCAGGAAACAATGGAGCATGACCTTCTTCATTGCCAGTATTATATAGACATTCTAACTAGGTTTATCCAACCCATCTTATATAAGTTTCCTGAGTCTTCAGAAGAACACAACTTCTCCCTATTACTACAGGACGAGAGCCCAAAAGTCACATATTTTGCGCTGCCATGACAGATATTTGACGAAGAATGCTACAATTCAATCCTAAACTGAAGGCCCATATTGCTAGATCCACACTTCTGAAGCCCACCCCTTATGGCTGTGTTTACCAATCTTTTAATTTTTCTTATAAATTTTTACTCACCCATTACTTACGCTTAATTAAGTATTCTGTGTATATGTTTAAATCTACATTTGGTTCTTGCTCCTTTTTATTTAATAATTATTTGCTTAGATTCATACTGTTATGCTATTTATTTAGATGTTTTGCTTATGCTGGTCTATGACCGTAATAAAGTACTTGACTTGACTTGACCCCTGAGATGCTCACTTAGGGGCAAGGGGGTGACCAGCAATAATGCCTCCTTCAAGAGGCTGTTTTTTTTTTGTTTTTTTTTGTCAAAAATGAGCATTGCTGGTCTCCTCCCAAGGGTGGTGCGCAGACTCCCTTCCTCTCTGTGGAGGAAGGAAAGAAGGTGTGAGCTGCCGCCTCTCCTCCTTATTGCTGTCAGGATGCAGCCTCTGCCTCACAGTCTCTCCCCCAAAATTTTGGGGCAGAGGAAGAGAAGGAGGAGATGCTGAAGTTGCCATGCCCCAAAGGCAGCCTAGGCAGACACCAGACACTTTGTTGAGGTGAGGAAAGCTTCCTTAGCAACATTTAAGCACAACTTTCTTTCCCGCCCTTCCTCCTCTCTCAGTCTACCCTCTCTCTCTCTCTCTCTCTCTCTCTCTGTGTGTGTGTGTATGTGTGGTTTTGGTATTTTTTTTATATATTTGCTCTAACAATAAAATGGGTCAGGACAGAGAAGGCAACCATATGCCTCAGTGAATATGCAGCTGTGCTTGTAGCTAAACTCCCAAGGACGTAGGGCTTGCCTATGGCATTGCCAAAATAAGGAAATAATACACCACAAACACCACCATCCCTCATAATAGGATAAAAGCTTAAGAAATCAATGTTTAGTCTGAAGTCAACAGCCTTTGTTTTGTTTAGGCTGCTGTCTTTCTTTTCCTGTTCTCGCTTTTTTTTTCTTTAGCTCACCTCCAAATGCACTGAGGCTTTTGTCTGACTCTTCTGTCCTGACACATTTGAAGTGAGTTTTATTTTCCCCACCTACTTTTTCATCTCCACATCCTTCTCATCCCATTATGCCTTTCCTCTTTCCCTCTCTACTAGATCCAGCATATACTCTGCTCTTTTACCAAAAATAAAAAAGATCCCTTCTGTCCCCACTTTCTTCCCAGCTTTAGTGTGAGAGGATTTCTGTTTAAGAGAGACCATTTCTGTGGGTGTGCAGGGTGTGAGAGAATTTCTGTGTGAGAGGATTTCTGTGAGGGTCACACACAACACACACACACGGTCCTTAACAAACTACGATTCTTGGCGGGACACCATTTTCTGATTTGCCTCAGGTACCAAAATGTTTTGGACTGGCCCTGCTCGATAATGATATCCTTACTACTGTGACTCAAGTGTTCATAATCTCACGACTGGAGTACTGTAACATGCTTTATACTAGGCTATCTCTGATACCACCTTTTCCCATATAGTCCACCTAGGCTTCTGTAACCTGTGGATGGGGACTTCCTGACTGTACCATGGTCTACAGAAGTTCAGTTGTGTGCATA